ATAAGTCTCTAGAGCTATGGAAACACACACACACACACACACACACACACACACACACACACACACACACACACACTAAATTTAAGACTACCTACTAGTTCAAAGTTTAAGTTTACTAGACAGGCAAAAGGATAATTGTACTTCTATTCTAAAGAAGCTATTGTGGGCTCATGCACACGAAAAAAAATCAACTCATGATGCTGATAATCTGACTAACTGTGGATTAGTGGTACCAGATCCTATTTTTGGAAAGAAACTGAAAAGCTAGGGCAATTCTCTGGCAGTTTGAATCTTCATATTTTCTTCCAGCTAACTACAGGTTGCCTGGGTACAGATAGACTGCACTGGATTCATTAGGTAATACTCTTAGCAATGGATGAAGCAGCCATACTGCTGTTTTGATACAGTCAGTAGCCTTTCAGCACAAAATTTTGTTGGCGGACATTAGCACAAGTGAAGTGAGTGCTAATTCAGTAGCTTTGGTCTATCTTTTTGATTAATACAAATAAACATTTTCTCTGCCCCTTGTTCTTTTCCTGTAGTCTGCCATAAAACTGAATGCCACTTCTCTTATTAGGGTCACTAAGCAGGTCATTGGGAAGATCCTGGCCAGCTGCAGTGTATTCAGGATGCTGGTGACACCAGGTTCGAGAAATGGAATCAACTTTCCAATGCCCAGATGAGAGAGAGCTGGCTGTGATTTCATGAGGTCTGACGGAATTAATTGGAAGAGCTGACAGTTTATATTGCTGCCCATTGGGGGAAGCATGATCACCATTTGTAAAACAGATGGGTAATTTGGGGGAGTAAGTTCTAGGTTACTCCTAGAGGCTCAGCGTGTGGTTGAATCCAAGAGTGCCTCCCCCTACCATTTGTAGCCAAGAGTGCAACCTAGTCTTCAATCAGTTCCATACATACAAGATGGGAAGGGACTGTCTAGGAAGGAGCATGGCGGAAAGGGATCTAGGGGTCATAGTGGACCACAAGTTGAATATGAGTCAACAGTGTGATGCTGTTGCAAAAAAAGCAAATATGATTCTAGGTTGTATCAACAGGTGTGTTGTAAGCAAAACTCGTGAAGTCATTCTGCCGCTCTACTCTGCACTAGTTAGGCCTCAGCTGGAGTACTGTGTCCAGTTCTGGGCACCACATTTCAAGAAAGATGTGGAGAAATTGGAAAGGGGACAGAGAAGAGCGACAAGAATGATTAAAGGCCTAGAGAACATGACCTATGAAGCCAGGCTTCATGAACTGGGCTTGTTTAGTTTGGAAAAAAGAAGATTAAGGGGGGACATGATAGCGGTTTTCAAATATCTAAAAGGGTGTCACAAGGAAGAAGGAGAAAATTTGTTCCTCTTGGTTACTGAGGACAGGACAAGGAGTAATGGGCTTAAAGTGCAGCAGGGGAGGTTTAGATTGGACATTAGGAAAAAATTCCTAACTGTCAGGGTGGTCAAATATTGGAATAAATTGCCAAGGGAGGTGGTGGAATCTCCCTCTCTGGAGATATTTAAGAACAGGTTAGATAGACATCTGTCAGGGATGGTGTAGACAGAGCTTGGTCCTGCCTTGAGGGCAGAGGGCTGGACTCGATGACCTCTCGAGGTCCCTTCCAGTCCTATTATTCTATGATAAGATTTCATGGGCAAAGACCCACTTTGTCAGATCATACATCTGATGAAGTGGGTCTTTGCGAAGAGAAGGAAGGAAATTCAGTAAGGACTAGCCACTTGTACTTAAAAGCAATGAAGCCAGAGGTTCACAGCAATTGATTTTATGACCAGAGCGTGAAAAAAGTATTCCGCCAAACCCTCAGAGCATGCAAAACTAGACAACCATTAATCAGCTGAATGAATAGAAAAAAAAGCATACCTTCTGGAGGGGGCACCTTTTCTCCCGATCAGTTATCCTAAAGTGTTTTAGTTTGAGATTCTCTGAAGCTGTTTGGAATTCTGCCAAGGTCTCTTGGATTTAGTCATCCTATCTTGTGTTAACAGTCTCTCCCCCTTCTCTTAGTATTGAACAGAACCAGGCTGACAGACCATCTCTAGCTCCATAAAAGGAAGACTGCACCAAGAATATGGTTGGTTCATCATAAAAGCACAGTTATTTTTACTACAAATTGCAGAGCATTGATATCTCAGTGTTATACTGAACCTTCAACCTATTTTTCTCCTTGCACAGTTTACGACATGTAGATATCACTCAAGTTCAATCATGTGTTTAAACATCTGCTCATACATCAGAATGCTTTTGCTAAACTAATAATTTCCACTGGAACCACAATCTTCTGCTTGCTCCAGGCATACATGGGTGTCCTACTTGGGCCTCTAGGAGCAAACTGGTATAATCTGAAGACACATCCTAGAACTGGTTAAACAATACAAATAGATCACATCCAAGTGGATACTGACAAGAAAGAAACTCCAGATTTATGATATATGCAGCACTATTTAAGTTAAGGGGCTTCCAAAACACTTTGGGACCAGTTAAAAATAGGAATTTAATCAAATTTGCCCCTTACACAGTAATAATTATATTTTGGAAGAATGGGGGAAGATGTATTTTCAGGCATGAAAACACATCAGCACTGGACCTACATTGGTGGAAGTTGATATTGACATGCAAAAAGTGGTATTTAGCCTTCTATAAAAAGGAAGAACAAATCGAGCCAGTGATAACCCCTCTGTACTGTTGGAAGCAGTTTTATGTCTAACCGAACACATGTAAAGGATCCTAAAAGGTATTAGGATGTCAAATTTGGCCAGTGCCATAAAATAGCTATCTTATGTAATATGTTGACGTTAAGGCTACTAAGCGTGGTTGTGAATAGTCTCATTGCCCACGAAAATGGGCAATTTTAAACAGCATAAAGTGGTATGTCGCAAATAGTTGGATAAATGAATGACAAATCATCACTGAATGTAAAGAAAGTCTACATGAACAGATATTCTGCAACCCAGGACATCTGAAAGGGTAGTGACTGCGAGACTTAAATGGACAATAAAGGAAAAAAAATACAGTAAGAAAGTTCTCTATTTTAAGCATAACTTATTATCTAATAGAGCAGTGGTTCTCAAACTTTTTGGTCCATGGACCACTTGGCTCAATATAAACCTTTCCATGGACCATTAGTTGCTAATGGAAACTCATCCTTAGTTAGGATAATTACGCCCGAGCTATTTTTCTACTGCTGCAGCTAAGGACAATGGTTTAAATTATTAAACAGATTAAGCATTTTAATTTTCTCATGTTATTTTCTGTTAGTTTATCAAACTTCATTTTAAATATTAATTTATGTTCATGAAAAAAGGTTTCTATGTTTTATTTATTTATGAAGGGGGAACTTTTTTGGGGTCAGGGGTCACTGACCCACAGAAAAATCAGTTGGGAACCACACAAATGTGAACAAACAAACAAACAAACCAAAAAAAAAAACCTCCACCAAAACCCCACCAACCCTCACCGATATGGTCCCTAATTGAGACACCTCATTCCTCTGGTGCTCCAGCCCCATTGGGTGAGGGGAAGGGTCAAGGAAGACTGAGGTTCAGGGCTTTCCATAAGCCAGATTTACTTTTCTGGGGTTCCAGAGGTAGTAGATTGTGTGTCCCCCCCCTTAGGCTCTGTGGTGGGTACAAAAATGAGGGATTCAGTGTGATAGAGCTGACAATAAATGGAATAGAAATGGGGGTGCAGGATCTGGGCAGGAGGAGGGGTGCAGGAGGGGGTGAGGGTGCAAGGTGTGGGTAGAAGGTAGGGTGCAGAAGCATACTGGGAGTAGGGTGTCTGGCCGGGGGGATGGAGCAAGAGAGGGTACAGAAGCAGGGTGGTGGTAGGGTATACCTCCTGCAATGAGGTTTACCATCTAATTCGAATTAGGGGCTTTAAATCGGAAGCCCGTTTCACTGCCGCGTGTAGACGTGGGCAGTTACTTCAGGTTAGTCAATTTCTAAAAATGGCAACCGGACAGGAACATGCAAATCAAGTGCGGGATATTTAAATCTCAGGCTTGATTTGCAATTCCGGTCGCCCTTATTAACCTCCCTAGATCGATCTAGGGGGCTAGTGTAGACATTCCCTTAGAGAATAACCAAGCCATCAAAAACCAAGCAGTCCTGTGGCACCTTAGAGCCTACTAACACATACTAGGTCATGAGCTTTTGTGGATAAAACCCACTTCCTTAGATGTGAACCATGAACAGATTTGGTCAGACTACTGGCTCTGCATGTTATCAGTTATTCAAACTGCTGAAATTTAAGTTTTACAATACAATCTTTTATGAACACTTACCCAGTCAGTACGCCATCATCAAAAGTTTCTGTAAAATACACTTCCCCAGTAGGCTCTGGAGTCTTGTATATAACCTAAAAATATTTATACAAATGATAAAAGAATAGCTTAGCTGAAATATATCATAGCTCATACCTACATTTCTAAGTATCATCATCTCTGATGCAAGAAATGTTTGACTACGATCATTTGCAATCCTCTGAGAAGTACTTGGGGCTGACCACTCCAGCACACACTAGGGATGTTAAATATCAGTTAATTGAAGAGTTGAGTAACCTCATGAATACTTATTGGTTAGTCGACTATTCTATAGTCCCCAAGGGCAGGGCTGGCAGCTACTGTATCAGACGCAGCAGCGCGGGGTATCAGGTGGGAGCAGCCCGTCTACGGCAGGGGAGGAGGAGAAGGGGAAGGGGTGTCTGAGCTCCCGGACCCAGCGCAAGCCAGAACTGAGCTGGGCTGCCTGCCCGCCTGGTTCCTAATAGGGATGTTAAAGATAGTCTATTGACTAGTCGATCCCCCCCACCTCCTTACTGCCTCTATTAGAGAGGCAGCAAAGGGTGGGGGGAGGGGTACTTCAAAGCGGCAGCACCGCACAACTAAGATGGAGATCAGCAGTGTGGTGCTGCTGCTTTGAAGCTGGGGAGTCCCCAGCTGACCCCGGGCTTCATGGCGCTGCCCCTTTGAAATGGGGTGGTAGATCTTGGCTTGTTCTGTCATTTAAAAAGTGATCTTGGGTATAAAAAGGTTGGAGACCACTGGGTTAAAAAGTGTAAGGCAGGGGTGTCCAAACTTTTTTCAAAGAGGGCCAGATTTGATGAAGTGAACATGCGTGAGGGCCGACCATTTTGCCTGACATTCTTTGAACCATTAAAATTAAATGCAAATTAACTATTTTATGCAAAGTTTATTGCAAACAGCATACTTTTCATTTCGTCACATGGATGACAAATCTAAACAGGTGTTAAATCACTCTGCCTTTCATATCTGAAGGCCAGATGAAAAAAAAAATCCAGGAAGCTGAAATATATGTCAGGAACATTGTAAAGTACATTACATATTATTGGTAATAAAGGTTGTCTGTCAACTTTTAAGTTCAAAAAATATGAACAGGAACATAACACCAAGTATACATGTTGTGTCCAAATATATTTATAACTGATTTAGACCAACTGACTTTAACTGAGATTTTACAATGTATTCATCTCAATACATATGGATTCGTTGGGGGCCATAAAAGATAGATATTGCCAAATTACCCGTTAGCCAATGTTCGAATCTCTTGAAACCGGCTCTTATCCAGTTGGCAGTAAAAGTTCACAAGAGAGCTGTTGGTGACGACTGCGTAACTCGCTGTCACAATGCAGCTCAATGAGCTCGAGCTGCAGCTGATCTGGAGCATCCTCGGGGTCAACAGAGAATGGAGAGGAGAAAAGGCTGATCTCCTTTTCAATAGCTGCAAAGTCCTGAAAGCGCCATTTAAACTCCCCAGCCAGAGATGCAATGTCTGCTGCATACCTGCTCGTTTGCGCACTGATATTGTCCTGTGGAAAACTGTTCATTATTTCCTGCAACGCTGAAAAATGTATGGTATTGGGCTGTGTTTGTGACAACTGCCTTATGAAAAGTTGCAGCTTTGTCCCAAAGGCTTTGAGGTGTGAATAAAGCTGGTTCACCGCTGCATCTTTCCCCTGAAGACTCGTGTTCAGTACATTCAGATGCTTTGTTATGTCAACTAGAAACCCCAAATCAGCCAGCCAAATAGGATCAGATAGTTCTCGCATTGGTTGTCCCTTTGTTTCCAAGAATTCTCCGATTTCCTTTCTGAGAGAGTAGAAACGCTGCAGTGCAGACCCCCGACTGAGCCATCTTACATCGTTGTGATATAAAACATCTTCGTATTCAGCCTGGATGTCCAGTAGAAACTGTTTAAACTGGCGGTGGCACAGGGCTTTAGAGCGAATAAAATTAATAGTCTTTAGCACCGGTTTCATAACATGATCATATTTGAGATGTTTAGCACAGAGAACTTGTTGATGAATGATACAATGGAGTTTAATAGCTTTGCCTCCTTCTTCGATCACCTTGTTACAGATTAGGGTTGATAATCCACTTCGTTCACCAACCATGGCAGGTGCCCCATCAGTAATAATCCCAGTAACTTTGTTCCAAGGCAGTTTCATGTCATCTATGGCGGAACTAACAGAAACAAATAAATCTTTTCCTCTTGTTTGGTCCGTAAGGCTCTGGAGGTCAAGTAGCTCTTCAGTCACATTCATTTCATCGTCCACCCCTCTCATAAAAATCAGCAACTGAGCTGTGTCAGATAGGTCCGTGCTTTCATCACAGGCTATTGAAAAGAAGTCAAAATCCACTCCTTTGGATGTCAACTGTCTCTTAATATCTGATGAAATCTCTTCAATTCTCCGTGCTACAGTGTTACGAGCCAGGCAAATGTTGGCAAACTCTTGCTTCTTCTCGGGACAGATATTCTCAACCATTTTCATAACGCATTCTTTGATAAAGTCACCCTCAGCAAAAGATTTGCAATTTTTAGCAATTAACGTTGCCACCTCATAGCTCGCCCTTGTGGCATTTTCATTTGACTCACGGGCTCTTATGAAAAATTTCTGTTGTGACATTAAAACAGCTTCAAGTTGCTTCAACTTTTCACTGCGGTCGTGCCCTGTAAGCTTGTCGTATGTGCTATGTCTCGACTGGTAGTGTCTCTTGACATTAAATTCCTTATAAACAGCCACAGTCTCTTGGCATATCAGACAAACACAGTGATTCTCTATTTCAGTGAAGAAATATTCCACTTTCCACCTGTCCTGGAAGCGGCGGCCCTCACTGTCAACTTTCCTTCTCTTATTTACAGTCGCCATTTTTTAAAATTGACCAGAAGGGGAAGGGATCATGTGAGCGCAGTGCCAGAGGTTTAATACACTGCCCAAGTAATACACTGCACTAATACACTGCCCAACAAGAATTCTCTTGCCTTTGTGGCTGTTTGTGGCGAAGTCTCTAATGATGAGCTCCACGTGCCTGAGCCCGCCAGGAAGCTGACAGTGCGCAGGGCCAATCACAGATACTGAACTTGAGCAGCTGCGGAGTCCGTCCCTGCACTCTCAGCCCCAAGGTAGAGGGCTTGCAGGGTCAGAGGCGGGCGGAGAGCGCAGGGCACGCTGGCCTCACGGCGGCCCGGGGGCAGGGCGAACCCGTAGCCAAGCGGGGGAGCGGGGCTGCGGACGTGCCCTACATGGAGGACTTTAGGACCGCAGCGGCCGCCATGGACGGCGGCAGCGCGGCCAGAAGCGGCGCCAGTCAGAGGAGCGCCAGGGAGCCAGGAGAGGGGGAGGAAGCGGGGGCTGTCCCTGCACTCTCAGCCCCAAAGCGGAGTGCAGGGGCAGGGTTTGGGACCGCGGCGGTGGCGGCCCGAAGCGGCGCCCCGCGGCGGCGGCGGCGCCCCGAAGCGGCGCGCTGAGCGCGCCAGTTAAAAAAAGCACCGAGGAGCCGGGAGAAGTGGGGGGCCGTATTAAATCCGACCGCGGGCCGCATTTGGCCCGCGGGCCGGACTTTGGACATGCCTGGTCTAAGGAGTCCAAGATTCTTCCCCTCTTCTGCAAATGTCCTCTACTCAAGTAGTCTCCTTTCTGACCCCCACCCCAGTCAGAAACCTTCAGTTTGGCTGGTCTGGCAGTCAACAAACCAAACAGACCCTCTCCCTCTTTCAGGAAAACTGCCTCTTTTCTTCTGCCAAATTTTTCATCCTTTGGTTTTATAGGACTGTATCAAGACCTCACCCACTGGACAGAATGCAATTCCTTAAGACCAACTAGGTAGCAATATAATGAACAAGTAAACCCAGTGATATCTTATTCAGAAAGAGAAAGAATTTTTGCTTATTGTGAAGACTGTGGAAAAATAGTTTGTCAGATGTTGCAAACCCATTGCAAGCTCTGGAATTCATTCATCAGTCATATTCTAATCACTGAGGCTTGCAATCATATTCAATCTAATGACTTATATACAATGTTTGCAGTCACAATCCCCGAAAAACAAAGTAAAAAAAGTAATTGATATATATACACATAATATATAAAAAGTCATGTGACTGTGGAAAAATAGTTTGTCAGATGTTGCAAACCCATTGCAAGCTCTGGAATTCATTCATCAGTCATATTCTAATCACTGAGGCTTGCAATCATATTCAATCTAATGACTTATATACAATGTTTGCAGTCACAATCCCCGAAAAACAAAGTAAAAAAAGTAATTGATATATATACACATAATATATAAAAAGTCATGTATAACTA